GGAAAGAAGACAGAATTGAAGACTACGTTGGGTGTTACGAAGCTGAGTGGAGGACATGATATGATCTTAGGTTTACCGTGGATGGAGGAGTATGAAGTGGCTTTGATGATGAATAAGTCAGGTAGATGGTTGGAAATTGGTGGTTGTATGGTATCAACAGTCATAGTAGAAGATGACTGTGTGGATGTATCAGTAGTTTCTTGTAAGTCAAAGAATACTACTGTTTCTCCTCTCGTTACCTCCACTTGCACTTCGATTTCAGACAATTCTCCACCCATCAACAATCCTCAAGCACCTCTTAAAACTTCTCTTGACAAGTCTTTCCTTTCTAATCTACCCGCGAGTTGTGTGAAATACTTACATGTTTTTTGTCCACAGGAATCTGTTTTGCCCCCCCACAGACCGTTTGATATTGCAATTGAAATCAAGCCTGGTTGTGAACCTCCATTTGGAGGGTTATACAATTTGTCCCCTGATGAGCAATCTGAGTTAAAAACTTATTTGAATGAACAGTTAAGTAAAGGTTTTGTTCGACCTTCGAAATCTTCCGCGGCAGCCCCAATTTTTTTTGTTAAGGTACCAGGTAAAAAGAATTGTCCCTGCGTTGATTATCGAGGTCTGAATAAAATAACTAAATGAGACAGTTATCCTATTCCCGTCATGTCCTGGTTGTTGAATCAGCTGCGGGGTTGTAAGTTTTTTGCTAAGATTGATCTGAAAGCGGCATTTAATCTGTTGAGAGTAGCAGAGGGCGACGAGTGGAAGACAGCGTTTCAAACCCCTTGGGGATTATTCAAATACACTGTCATGCCGTTCGGTCTTGCTAATGCACCGGCTGTTTTTCAGTGTTTCATTCAATGGGTATTGCGAGAATATCTGGATGTGTTTTGCTTTGTTTACCTTGACGATATTTTGATTTTTTCAAAAACTGCAGATGAACACGAAGAACACATTGAGAAGGTCCTTTCCAAGCTATCGGAACACAAGTTGACCGCATCGCCAGGGAAGTGCGAATTTTTTGCAAAAGAAGTCATTTTTTTAGGTTTCGTCATTTCGACGGAGGGCATTAGCATGGATCCTTCAAAGTTGAAAACTATAGCTGAGTGGCCGTATCCAGAAGCATTGAATGATCTACAACGTTTTTTAGGCTTTTCGAACTTTTACAGACGATTTATAGCAAAGTTTTTGGAAGTGTGGCACCTTTAACTACCCTA